AGTTGGTATCTGACTGCGTTGGCTCTCTGGCATCTAGTCTCTATCTCTCGATCTAATTTTCCATTTTCTGTGAAAATGCTGCCCAATATATAAATATATAAAACAATATCAAAGAATGTACATAATATATACATGCGTTTACGCGCACCTTTGCTGACTACAACAAATATAAATACACCCTTACTCCCCCCAAAAAAAACAACAACAACAAAAACAACAACCAAACTACAACACCCAGACAAACAAACAAACAAACAAACAAACAATCAAACAAAAAACCCACAAAGAAAGAAAGAAGCAAATTATTAGAGGGGCTAAACGAACGTGGTCATGTTATGCTACCATCAGGTGAAGAAGTTCGCCAAATTCATGAGGTTTCGCCAAGAGGAAGACGCAGGCTCGCCCACTGTGGAGGAGACGATCAACCTTGTGCGACAGATGCAGAAGCTCCAGTCAACTGATGAAACGTCTTCTTTGGGTGAGTGTAGTGTGAGCAAGTTACATGCAACAAAATAGTTGTCTGTTTTTATGTTTCATGTTTACACATATGAGATAATTAAATAGACAGATAGATAGATCGACAGATAGCTAGTTGGCTACCTAGCTAACTGACTAGCTGTATAATTTAAATATATATATATATATATATATATATATATACACACACACACACATAATATTGATATAGATAGATAGATATAGAGATAGATGGATGAATAAAAGGATGGAGATGGGTGGAGGGATGGATAAATGAATGGATGGATGGATGGATGGATGGATGGATGGATGGATGGATGGATGGATGGATGGATGGATCGATGGGTGGGTGGATGGATGTATAAATTGATTGATTGATGAACGGGCTGGCGGACAGATGAATGGATGGATAGAGAGAGGCGCGAAGAAATCTTTCATATTTTTTGTGTTGTAGGAATTTGCTCACAATCCTATTCTCATATAATATCTTGCCTATCTTTCTAATTTTATATCACGATGTTGTCAATAACCCCCCCCCCCAACCGACCATTGCAAAAGTTTCTGAAACGCAAAACAGCTTAATGTAGTCATTTCCAATATCAACACATCTTATTTACTTTTTTTTCTTGTATGCTTGTCCTTTGTAGAGACGATAGTTCGAGATGAGGTAAACATGAGTGTGAAATGTATTTTAACTCCCCATGAAGGAGGGTATAAATCTCTGAGTCTTTCACTCATCAGCCCCAGTGATCCCAGAAGAAGACTATGACCTCGGGAGTGATGATGATGAAACGGGGAACGAGCTGGATGACAGTTTCCAAAAGGCGGGTAGACGGAGAAGATCAAGCCAGGTTTTGTGGGGCCGACTCGACGCCAGAGCCCGTGCCCCTAAGGTAACTATACGGTTTGTGTTTGATGTGCCTTGTTGGAATATGCAAAATATAGTAGACTTATAGGTTCAACGTCCCTTGCAAAACTAGAAGGTTAAGTAACAGGTGTGACCTCTTAATTTACCTTACAGTTCTCTAGTTTAGCGTCCATCTTCGATAGAACTTAGCCGAAGGGGACATTCTTGTAAAACGCCTTTCCCAAAGATACGATGTCGGACAGAGCTGTCTCGAACCCTTGAGCCCGCAATCTCTCGATTACAGGTCTGATAGCCTAACTACATGTACTAGACTACTGGCACCAATTGTGTCCTGCTGTTGTGTTGGTTCTTTTGTTTGAATGAGTATGTGTTTGTGTGCATACTTGCGTGTTTTTGACAAAGAAAGGGATAAAGTAGCAGGTAAACGAAATGATAAAAATGTAAATGTATGGGTTTAACGTCCCTTTCAAAACAGTAAGGTTATTTAAGAGGAGCGGCCTCCAAGTGTAACGTCCAAGGGATCAAGCCATTTAGGTGAAGAGCCTTGAAAACACCCCAAACAACCAAGTGTCAGAGGCCAGAATATTTCATTGGGATTTTGAACCGTCGATACCCGGAAGGGTACAAGAATTGGGAGGATGAAAGACGTGTGCAAATATCAGGTGCAAGAAAAAAAAAAGAATGGTGTTTGTTGCAAATATGAGTATACTGGTGAATTTTTGGAGGAAAAAAATGCAATAGACAGGGGAAACGTTAATGATAAGTTCTAAAAGTTAATCAAGCCGCCGATGTCCACAATTTGAACATACTGCACAATATCTTTCACCTCATCTACTTATCTTTTACTTATTCTGTTCTTTTGTAGCACACGTTTTTTGAGGTGAGATGTTAAGGCGAACGTGACCTATTGTGTTGTCTTTTGGATCGTTATTTTGTCCTTTGGAGGGCCTCCCTGACTCCACAGATCCATCTTTTTCTGCCGGTAGCTGGCGGGTGCCTAGGCGTGGTTTGCTCCTTCTTTCCCATCAAACATCTATCAACATGATCTCTCTTCCATCTTTTCTTTTTACGGTACTCTCATGTATCACTATGAATCTTTGGCACTTATATGGCATTTTTTGTTGCAAGTGCTGTAAAACCTTTTCTTGTTCTTTCTCTTTCTGCAAATCCATTATCCTTACCATACTTTATTTTTCGATTGTTCAGACTCCCCAGACTCTGTCCAGGAACTTCATGAGGCGCTATCGAACTCTGGCCCACCAGATGCGAAATGAGAGTGTCTCAGAGGCATCTCCTGATCAGGTAAATATATATAT